ATTTTGTGCTTTATCTAGAAGGAAGAGTATACTTAAAAACTAAACTTGTTTATTTTAATTTTGTCCATAAATCAACTTCTTGTGGTGTGGTTACTATATCACGAAAGTGACCTTGAAGGTTAGGATACCTTGAACAACTCTAAGGGAAGGTATTATGTGACTGCTTCGTTCTTTATTATTTTTTTATTTTTGGACTCCTGTTACGATACAGTGCTCACCGACGAAGCCACTTCCAAGGTCTTACTCGGTACACGTATAAACAAATTTGAAGCTTGCTCTTATCAGCATCCAATGGTTTATGTTTTTTTTGATAGCGTCTGTCAATTTTTAATGATGTTACCTTTTATTTTTACTCTAATTCTACTGACCTACCTGTCGACAATACTGGGCAGTACTCACTGTATTTCCAAAAAGGTGCTAGAATCTATGCTGTGCTGCGAGGAAATTATGCTCCACAGTTCCCGCTCATGAGCATCTACCCGAAGATACGTGCCATCAGTAATAGGTTTCCTAGTCCTTTCAACCACCTACGATTCTTAACCTGTGCCTCATTTTCTCCTAATGTGACTTTGCAAAATTCAAACAACCTCTCCGCGTACCCGTTACATTATACTGACTTATCATTAGAATTTCTCCCCCCCCCACTTTCCATCTTGCATATGAGTGGTTATATTTATATAATATGACTTAAGTATTTCCCTATGGTGTTTGTGAATGGTAGATATACGCCTTTTCATTTGTGGAACTTATAAATTATGAAGGTGTTCTTGTATAGCAAAGATAGATGTATTTATTTTATGTAAATAGGAACCAGGAATACATTCAAGTAACTCAGAAGCTCAAGTAGAATTGCTAATTACAAAGCAATAATTTTGTAAACATGATGTGGACTTTGATCAAGGGGATTATCTGGGAACAGAGTATTTAAATCATTCGTCTTTTGATTTGTAATTCCGAGAAGTTTGTGGCTCTCTTTTTGATTTGGCATTCTACTCACCCAAACATGTAATATGCAGCAAAAGTTTCTTCACACTGCCATCATATCAATATAAATCAAATTACTTTCTGTAGTTTATACTAAACTAATATTGTAGACTTCACTAGGAATATAGTTGGAGAAGTTTTCCACAGTTCAGTGAAATTGTCTAACAGTGGGGTTAACATTGTGCTTTAAGTAAATCCATACGCTAATGCTGTGAGTACTGTTAGTTGTGTTTATGTCTGGTTCGGCGGTTTTACTGGTCGACAGATTACGGTGGACATTGCCGTAACTGTCAGTCAAGGGGTGGGCTTGCTTGCTATGCACTCCTATTCTTCACGCGACGCTCCCGGATTGAGAGACTAATGAGGCCACTGTAACACAAAGACTTGACAGGTTCGTTCCGGGGGCAGATCAAAACCCATAAACCAAATCATATTATCGCTGGAGCTTTCGCCTTGCGTGTCCTAGTAATGTTAGTAGTGTCCAGTTCTTTTCTGTGGGATGATGGATATCTTATATTCTTTTAGTCATAAATTTTCTCTAATGTGGTATTTTCTCTAGCGTAATGTGTTACTTGGTCCCTTCTCTTAATTCCTTTGACTTCTTGAGGGTCCAAGTAAAGAAGTAGCTTGTACTCTTGGTGAGTCCTGTTATTTTGGGTGCTTTCGCATTGTGCTCTGGTCCTCATCCACGTCCACCGCTAGACTCCAATGAATTTCCTCCATCCCGACTGGGACTCTATTTTGTTCTTTCCGCGGCAAGCAAGTTAGATATAATATTGCATAGATGATGTCTGGCCAAACGTACTCTGAAATTTTTGCATAAGGGTACAACTGTCTAGATGTATGTCCCAGAATATGTAAAGGTGTTAACGTCCCTACCTGAAGAGCATCTTACATCATAGAGTGAGATTTTGATTGGCGCATATTGGTGTTGGTATAATCGCAGAATCTTGCGTTTTCTCCTTATGCAATGTGTTGAAACTGACTGCTATGTCTCGAGGCGAACTAACGCTTACACTGGTCGGTCTTCTCGAAATATGATAATTATGTGTTGTTTGCGTGTGACTTATAAGAGAAACCCAGGTCCTACTTGCGATAGTGTTCAGGGCATTATTCGTCCAGTTACCGAGCGTGCCCTTCACTTAAGAGCGTTATACCAATTTAGGTGGGATAGCTCTGCTTTGTTTCATCATGACAATCGGCATGTTGAATCTATGATTACTTTTATAAGTCTACAATACAGGATAGAACTCTACAGGAGAAGGACAAGTAAAACGAATGTTGAAGTAGTAGTATCTCAAACCTTGCACATGGTAACAAGATTAACACGGTTCTTCATGGCACCAAACCAAAGTTGATCGATGTTGATCAGCTTACCTACTATCCTTTCATATGCAGACTGTATTATGTCACACAGTGTATTGTTTGGTCAATTTCACAACGTATAATGGATGATAATTGGCACACTCATAGTGGTACGGTCGTGCGTCTAAAATTTTAATGCCAACAAAGCTATCAACGAATAGCTCTTATTCTTCGTAGGTCTAATGATTTCCTATATATCTTATCCACAAAAGCAATATACCTCGAATTCCATCTTTTCAACATAGATAAATCAACACATTTAGTGTATGTATTTCATTGTCAAACATCAAATTATTTTTTCAGTATCATCTTTGTAATACTCTTATTGTCTTTGTTAATTACGATTATGAAGACCTATCGTACATGATCTATGTAAACTGTAGTAATTGTATGTAAGACATTTAATGGGTATCAAGTTGTTATCATTTATGTCCAATGTCTGTACCTTATTTATGCGATAATAGAACACGGATTATTTACCCATATCCTGAAAAACAGCCCTTAACATATTTTACAGTAAGTTTAGAATATAATGTTTTGTGTATCTGATAAACTTGTTCACAAAATTGAATTCACGCTCTCAATTTACTGTATATTGTCAATTTATGTTTGTGATTAGCTTCTAATGAATCTGCAACGCAAGTTCTCGCTGTAATACACACCTAAATCGAAAAACTCCCGAATTTTCATTTGAAGAAGTGTTTTGTGTTAAGATGAGATCTATTGTACTCTCGGTGTATAATCTCATCTGGTTAAACTAGAAGATTCTTTTTAATTCCTTCAAGTATAAAATTGCTGAGAATTAACATTATTCTTCCAACTTCACTGGAAATCTTATCATACACACTAATCAAAGCAGATGTTAAGATATACAACATCATATCAAGCTCATGATTCCCGGTTAGGTCTATACAAGATGCAACGACAATCAATATTAAATTATGTGACATTATGTAACTGAAATCAAAATTTCAATAATTAATTAAGATAACTTAAAATTCTGGAGAATCATCCAACTGTCATAATATTTTCCATGTCTGAATTGGCCTTTTACCCTAAATACTTGAATGAAACTGTGTAATTGATCGAAATATTCACTTTTGCATGCTGCACGGGCTATTTATTAAGCACAGTCTCATAATGTCAGCTGTATGTGTGTAATATGTTTTGATATTTTGCAGCATTATTTTCATTTTTATTTGAATACTGAACCGATTGCTGAATTATAAAACTGATTAAAAACCTGGAGTTTTGAACAGCCCAATTTTTTGAACAGTACGGAAAAAACCAAAAAAAAATAACATGAAGAGGGGGCCGCCTCCACAGTTGGGATTAGGACTCAACATTTATTCTCTTGTATGTCGCCATCAGGGTGAACGTGATGCTTAATCTCTAGACCACTGAGCTGTGAGGGGGGGGGGGGTGTCCAATGGGTTTAAATATACCTACTATCTAATCATATGTACCTTCATTGAATAATCCCCTACATCGGAGTGAGTACATATGAATAAACATTTGTTGCTACCTGTGTTCAATTAATGATTGTGGTGTGATCGTGTCGTCATACCTATTCAAAATTTATGATCTTTCGCTGGCTGGCTGGCTGATGTTTTGGATGCAATATTGTTGTAAGGATCTTTCATAGGTGTTCAATCTAGCTAAGCGTAGATAAGAAGATAATCCGACAACATTACATCTTTACGATACAGCCACACTTCGACTAAAATAGTGAAGCATTTCGAATTTTCATCTCACGTTTGACCTGTATTAGTCTTGGTATTATCGAATAGCCATGTTCCACTTCATTTCTGAGTTTTGTGCTGAATGATGTTTGTATTTTGATTTACAGATTAAAAAGACATACCAATGAAAGCTTCCACAACCATATAACAAAACCCATAGCCTCAAATACGAGAACATTAAACACCCAGACCACAATAAATCCATACGTTAAACTGGTATTCTATCACATACTTAAGACAACATGCCTATGGAAAAATTTTCTTCTCACAATAAGCATATAGATATAATGATAATTGTACAATATTTTGGACGTGTCCTTGTTTCTCAATTCGTATAAAAGATGGTGTTAGAAATTGCGTAATTTCATTGATCAGTGCATCTCTTTTTTCTATATACTACTGACTTGGTATTTTGTTATGTAATAGAGTTTATTTATTAGTTAGATTTTTGACTAAATTTTCAATTTGGATTAGGAACCTCAATTAATTTCAAATTTGTTATTATAATATCATTAATGAAGCTGTAAAATTGGTCCGAGAATGGCTCTGAAATAGTTGAGAAGGTTGCTCGCAAAGTAATCGTTAACACTTTTTCAATCGTAGCTCCAGTGGATTTGGATTACTGAGGTTACAACAACACAGATTAGCCTACTCAAGGTCACAATAGATTTTCTTTCTTAGTAATATAAATCAACTGAATATATGTATTAAATCCATCAATTAAACAAAACTGATAAAGATAAATGATTGTTCGTTATCAGTCCGTTCCGATTAATGATCGAATTAAAATCGTGTAATCTGACAAATTGCCTACAATTACAGGTATCAATTATTGAATTGGGACCAATCAATTATGAATGGAACTCAGCCAACTTCATAGGACATTACAAACTCTTCATTGCGACTACGAGAAAGCGGGTAGAGGAAAGTTCGAATAGGCGTGCATAGGAAAATGACTGTGAAGTGGAATCTTCTAGATTCGAACCACTTATGACGGTAATGTGCCTGAGCCAAAATTATCAATACAAATATGCATACGGAATTCGCTTTCGGAATGCATGAGTGTATCAAACTGACTCAAAATCGAGTCGTACACCATGTGGAGGTCAAGGTCTGACAGACTCTTTGAGGTAAAGACCATGGTGTCTAGGCAAGGGGTATGCGTTTTGTACTTCGACGTTATTGTGACTACAATACTTTTCATGTCTAAATTTGTCTTACTGGTTACGATTTAGGGATTCAGTCCAAACTATGACGTAGGATTATGAAAGTAATGAGCGTTCAACATCTGGAATTAGATGGAGGGAAGCAACACGTGATAATAGCAACGGTTGGTCAATCAATTGTCATTTATGGGAGCTGGCAGTTCTAGTATACCAGATCTGGAACTTCTGCCCAGATGGTCCCATTGGGGGCTCTTGGTTCATAGTGAATTCGGGCGTTGCCCACGTGATATGACAGCAAGTAAATTCAAGGAACCAACCAAATCAGCTTAGAGTAATATGGATCGGACTCCAGATGTAGCAAGTGCTGAGCCTCTGCAGCAGTAGGTCTCAACATACATAAAGGAAAAAGCAAAATTCTCCGATGCAACACAACATGCACCAACCGAATCACGCTTGATGGAGATACCTTGGAGGACGTTAACACCTTCACATATCTTGGCAGCATCATCGACGAGAAAGGTGGATCGGACGCAGATGTGAGGGCGCGGATTGGCAAAGCGAGGGCTGCATTTCTACAGTTGAAAAATATCTGGAACTCCAAACAACTTTCAAACAAAACCAAAATCAGGATCTTCAATACAAATGTCAAGACAGTTCTACTGTATGGAGCGGAAACATGGAGAACTACCAAAGCCATCATCCAGAAGATACAAGTGTTTATTAACAGTTGTCTACGCAAAATACTTCGGATTCGTTGGCCAGACACCATCAGCAACAACGAACTGTGGGAGAGAACAAGTCAGATTCCAATGGAGGAGGAAATCAGGAAGAAGCGGTGGAAATGGATAGGACATACACTACGAAAAGCACCCAACTGCGTCACTAGACAAGCCCTCACATGGAACCCTCAAGGCAAAAGGAAAAGAGGAAGGCCAAGGAACACACTACGCCGAGAAATAGAGAAAGATATGAGAGGAATGAACAAACATTGGACAGAACTGGAGAGGGAAGCTCAGGACAGAGTTGGTTGGAGAAAACTGGTGGGCGGCCTATGCTCCATTGGGGGTAACAGGCGAAAGTAAGTAAGTAAGCTGTCGTCGACATTTGAAAAAAGTCACAGTGTTGATCACCCTCTGTAATCACTTAAGGCTTTACTCATCAACTTGGTAGTTTGTTACTAACTGAAGTGATCTAGACACAGCACAAACCACTGTCTCTTTCATCATAAAATACAGTCTGTCATAAGATAAGCTTGAAAAAAGCTAAAGGCGGTTAGACCATCACTGGACACCATTCAATGAAATTGTTACTGTTGGTCTGATCTGTTTGAATTTACTGAGGATTGTCAGGTCCTAGGAGAATAATGTACCTTGTCGGCGAGCACGACCTAACACGAAGCCGAGAACCCTGTCTTCTCTGTGACTCTCTCTCTCTCAACTTATTGCATGCAATATTGAATCACATAAACTGTTGTCCACATTACAACTTTGTCAACAGAGCTCGATAAGCACTAACCAGGTCTGGAAGAACATTATACAACGTTATACAATACTCAGTAGCTTATCAGTACAAATTATACGGTACTTTGATCAGGAAACTTTTGAAAAACATACATCCATTTGGTATATATACTCATATGAACCTTATGTCATGATAATGGCCATTCATATGAATAAGTTTAACAGGAAAAAGAAATAGTAGTTTTGTTTTAATCTATTTGATTTCTTTTTCTTTAGGTTGTTATGGCATCCAGTCAATTGTTGTTCTATTTAAATGCTACAGAGGATTATCCAGCTGTAGTTCGTGCTCTAATTCGAACCCTACATCGTAATCGGTAAACAAAAAAAGAAAAATACTATGATAAACTATTTTTTTTTGCATAAATTTATTTTTGTGATTCCAAAATACACGATTAGTTAGCTCTTAATGATAATCGTTTGCTCACTAGTGTGACTAGTTTTTAAAAAAAAGGGTGTTATTAAGCTTTATAGTCAGAAGCTGTGATTGTGAGACGGAGTCCTAAACCAAACATACGTCACTTAGTATTAGTATTCGATGTTTTTCACGTTGTTTTCTGGTTTTGATTAAAATTGCAAGTATCAACTATGGAAAGGTGGTGGTCTAGTATTAAGGCTTAACAATCATCGCGAAATTTGAATCGTTTGAGTCTAATGTGTCATTGATACTGCTCATCCATGAGCAGTACCAGTACCCTGCGCATATCCTCTAATCTGAGTGGCTGTGTTTGACACCCGTAAAGTAGGACGAAGCGAACTGCTGCGCAGTAAATTCATCCTTTGTTTGGCAGAAGAATATCTCATTTATGCCATAAGTGACACAAGTTGACAAAAGCCAATTGAGACTTCTGTACACGTGCTGAGATTTTGTCAGATGCCAGGCCATCAACACTGATGAGACTCCCGAGATAAGTCGATCGGTTAGCAAGCTCAACTAATTCACTCCCTTTTGCTAGTTCAGGTTCCGATTCAAGCAAATCCTGAAGTAACATTTTGCATTTCGACTGGAATAGTCGTATTGTTGCTTAAAGTAGTCAGAACACTATATTTCCTCAGCGTCTTCACTAAACAAAACTGTATTTTCATTCATTTATCTGCAGTGTAGGAAGCTAAAACAGAAACTATCGTACATGAGTTGAAGACCTTTAAAGAGTTGAAAACAATTTTGAAATCTAATCAATTTGATTATACACATGATAACATTTTTCTTGTTGTTTTCATTCAATATCAATTTATTCATTTTTTTGAATTATATATTTTTTTGTTTTACTATACAGCGAGGTTCAATATATGATTTTAAGCAATATATCAAGTTTAATAACATTTGGACATCGTAATTTATTCGAACCATATCTACGATCATTTTTTATCTTTTCAACTGATTCACTACAAGTGAAATTGTTAAAATTAGAAATTCTTAGTAGCTTAATCACTGAAACATCAAGTTCTGTTATTCTACGTGAATTCCAAGTAAGTTTCTTTTTTTTCGATGTGCATTTATAAATGCAATTTCCTATCCAATCAGCGCCTGATCGATTCTTGGAGAACAGGTTAGAAAAATCTCACATTGTTAGCTGCGTGCTGATTGGCTAAATCTAATCCAGTCGATCACGTGATTGGTCAGAGAATACTAAGCATTAGGAATTAACCGGGAATTATTCAAGCAAGCGTTACAGTTGTAAGGGATTTATCTAAGATTTGATCTAAATCATAATTGTCATGCAAATTATTAAACAAGTTAGATAAATATGTTAGGTGATTAGGAGTAGCCAACAGAAAACCCTTTAATTCAGTATTCCTCGGCAAGATGTTCCTGTAATCTTCAAAAGACTGGCGAATCCCATTCGATATAAACTCGCATCACTCATCTTCATAGTCTAGAATGTTATTAATCAGCCACTGATGAAACGATTAGCTTGCGAGATTGAGATATTTGCATATAATTGATTAGTGAACAATAATCAATGTTGTGTTTGTCTAGTTTTTGACTAATGCTGATCTAATTCAGTCGGTCAAACTGTAATGTGTCCACTAGTCGAAATAACGTCAAGTCGTGTTAACTATGTTAGAAAGTTGAGCGATTGGGAGTAATGATACTATGTTAAGTACGATCAGTTATAGGAAACATAAAATAAATGCAATGTGATCATATCTAAGTAATAGTTACTGGGGATAACTCGAAATCGTGATTTCTTTTACGTATGGTTCATTGTAGGGTATAACCATATGAGTTTTACAGAATATTCCAAAGTTTTGTCTTTGATATTACCGCTTTATAGATCAGGGAATGGGTGAAAGTATTGTTTGAGTGTAGATATTTTGGTGCTCATGATGATATATATATTGCATTGTACATTTTAATGCTGTGTTGAACAGTTGTAGATTAAATGTAGAAATATTAATTGGTGAATATATAAACCTTCATATAACTGTTATGGCTTCCATATGCTAATCATTATCACATGTTGAAATTACCAAACAGAATTCTAATCATAAATTTCTTCTTATTTCTTCTGTAACCTAATATTCTGGATATCTAGGTATCTGTACCATTAACATAAACTCTTGTTAATCCTCTGTCCTCAAGCTTTTCTCCATCTCTTACCCAGAGTTCAAATAGAAATCAATAACCAGCTTCTATTATTATACTCAATTCATTCATGATTTAATAATGTTGAGTAAAATCTCAACCAATACATCAACATAATTCAAGAAATTACAATAACTGTTTCCAATACACCTTAAGTGAAACAGAACCGACTAATAATAGGTTTGTAATCAAATAATAATAGTGATTTTCAAAACGTACAATACAAAACAACAGTTTATACACTCACAGCAAAGTTTACAAGTAGGCGAATGCAAAAATACAGTAATTTCAGTATTTAATAATTATGCAACAATAATTCCGAATGGTCAACTTTTTCAATGATTGTTCAGTTGATTTCTTTATTATTTCATCAAGACTGGGTTGCATCGGCACCTGAACTAGTGATAGAAAGTGAAGTAGTCGAACGTGTAGACCGCTTCACTTATCTTGGGAGTCTCATCAGTGCCGATGGCCTGGTGATTGACAAAATCTCAGCACGGATACAGAATGCTCGATTGGCTTTTGCCAACCTGCGTCACTTATGGCGTAGGCGAGATATCCGTTTGCTGACTAAAGTACGAGTGTACTGTGCAGTAGTTCGCTCGGTCTTACTTTATGATTGTGAAACATGGCCAGTCAAAGTAGAAGATATTCATAGGTTACTAGTTTTCGATCATAGGTGTCTTCGAAACATTGCTCGTATATCGTGGGACACCCGAGTTAGCAACGCTGTTCTTAGGAAACGGGTGCTAGGTAAGAATGACAGATCAATAGATGAAGTGGTGAAACTTCATCAGTTGAAGTGGTTGGGACATGTGTTGCGTATGCCTGACCACCGACTGCCTCGTCGAGCTTTGTTTTGTAGTGTAGGAGTAGGTTAGAAGAAAGCTAGGGGCGGCCAGACCAAAACATGGCATAAATCCATGAAGTCATTGACGAGTAGACTTAGCGATGTCGGTAATTGTCGACTTCCTGGTTGGGGTCCGCGAGACGATAATAATCGATGGTTAGAGACCTAGAATGACACGGCTCAAAATCGTTTGCACTGGCGCCGGTGCATTTATTCTTTGTGTTCTCTCAAATGCTAATCTTCTGGATTCTTCAACACCTCTAGTTTTGACTTTCTAAACTTATCTCACTGAATCATACTTCTTGAATAACATCTTCTCATCCTAACCTCTCCGATTACTTCTAATACCCTTACTAACTCATCTACTATTGGATTTGAATTGACAATTACATCTCTGTGCTGATGTGGTATGGCGACATGAACTGATGTACTTACGTACGAAGTTCTACGTTGCATCTGACTGACTGACTTTATTTCATCAAGCCATATTATAATCGTGTTAGGTTGAGTAAATGTAACAACTAAAAGACAATTTATGCCACAGTTATATTTATTAAACAAACATTCCATATCATTAGCAGTAATCAGAGTTTTTATTTTTTTTTATAGTATTATGTGAATAGTTTCGATGAAGAATTTGTCACTGCAACAATTCAAGCAATTGGACGATGTGCTAGTACTGTTCCACAAATATCAGATGTTTGCTTAGGTGGCCTACTACGATTAATGTCTAGACCGAAAGGTAGTGAATTTTCTTTTTGTTTGCCATTCTTTATTGTGTGTTCTATTGTTTGTTTTTTTTGCTTCCTTTCTTCATGTTCATTTTATCTACTTGAGTTTTGATTGAAATGTTCGATTTCATTATTTTTGCTTGATCGTAATATACATTTTTTTTAAATCGTTTGTTGTGGATGCTTATCAATTAAGTTCTCGGGATTCTCATCATTGTTGATGACCTGGGGACTGACGAAATCTTAGCAGAGGTACAGAAAGTTCGATTGGCTTTTACCAAGTTGCGTCACCTATGACGTAGGCAAGATATCCATCCGTTTGCTAACCAAAGTACGAGTGTACTGCGCAGCATTTCGCTCTGTCCTACTATGGATGCGAAACGTGGCCAGTAAGAGTAGAGGACATTCGTAGGTTATTAGTATTCGATCGTACGTGCCTTCGAAATATTGCTCGTGTATTGTGGGACAGCCGAGTAAGCAATGCTGTGGTTTGGAAACGGCTGCTAGGTAAAGATGGCAGGTCAACTGATGAAGTAATGAAACTTCATCAGTTGAGGTAGTTGGGACATGTGTCACGAATGCCCAACCACCGGCTGCTTCGACGAGCTATGTTTTGTGGTGTAAGAGTAGGTTAAAAGAAGTCTACGGGCGGTCAGACCAAAATATGGCACAAATCCATGAAGACACTGACAAGTGGACTGAGTCATGTTGGTAGATGTTTGCTATCTGGTTGGGGTCCGCGAGATGAAAGTCATCAATGATTAGAGACCTTGAACGACATGGCTCGAAACGTCTGCAGTGTCGCAGGTGCGTTCATTCATTGTGTTCTCTCACATTCTAACCTTCTGAATTCCTCATAATCTCTATCTTTCTCTTTCTAAAATTATCTTATTGAATTATACTTGAATATTATCTTCAAATCCTAATCTTTTCCATTAGCAGTAATTCTTCTACTATCTCTACCATTATTGGATTTGAACTGACGGTTGCGTCTGTGTGCTGATGCAGTATGGTGACATGAACTTATGCACTCACGTACGAAGTTCTACGTTGTAACTGACTGACTTAATCCTTATTGATGGTTTTTATGCTCGACCACTGCCTATCTCGATATTCATTATTTGTTGGTGTAATACACGGTTTTAACATCAATCAGGTACAGATGCATTCACACTTTACCTCCTGTTAGACCTTAAGTTTATCTTAAATCATCTCATACTGTTCTATTCAACGAATTCATTCATTCTTTCTAAATTATACCGCTTATTTTTAGTCTTTTCTACTGCCATTGTTACTAACGCTGTTTATGTCATTTTCATATTGATCTCGAAAATTTCATTTCTCTCCATCGATCTAGTTTGTTAACTGGGGCCTATCGATATGTGTTAAATTCTGTCGATTAATAGGTTATAGATACGTTGCGTTGACCAGTTCCAAAAATCTTGAAACCGAAGTTGAACAGCGTTTCTTGTCAACTATATTTAACCATACAACGTCAAAGACATAATGCTCGCGTTTACAGATCATTTAGTGTAGTGATCACGGTGAAGTTTGATCGGTAGAACTGGATCAGCGCGAGGTATGCCTAGGCAAACATAACGATGATTATTGTACAGTAATTGATCGTCTGTCAACTTCTCGGAGCGAGTAGCTGGATGGCAATATCCCAGACAAGTCCGAATAAACCCATTAGTATAAGTTACTCACTGCTGCGTTCAGTATATCTTCGTGTCAGATTGTTAAAAGTTGTCTTCAAGAAACCCTTAATTTTTAGGGTAGCTCTTATCGGTTGAGGGTGAACTAGTTCAGTAATGCAGTCTCAGACTGTGAAGCTGGATGGCTTATGTTTGAATCTAATTTGAACCACCAGTGCCCTCATGATGCACTTTGTACCAGTATGATGTTACTATAAATAATTGGATCGTATTTTTTCATAGAGTCACATGATACCTTCAGTCAATCAGTATGAATAAGTAACTGCATCATTTTTTTTGTAATCAACGACCTACATATCTCACTAAATAATTTAAATTTTTTATCTTTGATTTTAGAAAAAATCATGGGTGAATGCGTGATTGTACTAAGAAAATTATTACAAATGAAAGTAAGAAAGCGTATTTAATATTTATTAATCATAATTGCACAACGATAAGATTAGTGTACTTATTTTTCCAATGATCTAAAGTTGGCATTGTGCCACTGTACAACTGCTATTCAGTATTCTTTGTGATTAGAAGCTTTCGCTGCAAGGCTTTAAAATCCCGGGTTTGTTCGTTAGTCGGGTCGTCAGTGTGTATTGTTAAGAAGTTCCATACTCGGACGAAACATTTGTTCAGTAATCCCCTAATTTCAATGACATAAATCAAATTAAATCTGTAATGAGCATGTCAACTACGAATATAACGTTTACTGAAATCATATTTTTTGTCATTTCCTTTTCAACAATGATATTGGCGTTAGACGGTGGAAGACAGCGTTGAATAGTGAAATAAATAATCAACAAATACTTTTTTACCTAAATCTTCATCCTTTTGTCTTAAGTGAAATTTCCTCATATCAGAGCTGGTCAAGCGTTATATAGAGTTTGATTGGATGTACTAATGAATAAGTGTAAAAGTAACTAGTATTTAAAGTGTATGATACGCTCGTCAATTGATATGCTTGAAACTGTTACGAGTTCACCTTACTTGGTAAACGAAAGCGAAGTAATGATACAGTGACACGATTGGCTATTCTGATTCGGTTGTCCCTGGCCCTGCTAACTATAGCAAGAAGTTTTGATATGGCGTAGAAAGTGTATTCTACAAGCACCCAGAAACACGAGGTTGATAAGCACAAAAATCGAGTTTATGTGTATATGATAGAAACGTATTTGGGAAAGCCACAAAATAGCGTACTAAAATAATACATCAATCAATAACAGCCATGGATTTTCCGAGTGGGAAATGTAATCTCAAGGTCAACTGATTGGACCATGCGCTAAAACATAAGATCCAAAATTAGAACCTTTTCCAAGTGAGTGCTGGGGATCTAACCTCCCCCAGCAGATTGGGAGAATGTTGAGATCTCACATCAAATAAACCGTTAAAATGGTACGAAAATTCTGATCTTTGAGATGATGGCGAATATTGTTGATCTCATAATTATTTCGAATTCCACTTAACGTGGTTGGCTCATTTTACTTCTATTACTGTATTTGACATATTTTTATTTTTAACTTCATTGTCTCTTACAACTGTGACTTACGAATACGAGTTGGGTTATAGGTAAACATTGGATTGAAGCATGAATCCAAATAAAAAATGAGTTACAACTAGAATCAAACAATTATGATGAAAGTGATCGATTGAAACGTGATTTTCCCATAGTTAATTATCAAGATTCGATCAGTCGACCAGTCATTTTTGGCATATATGTATCCTGTTCAGATTGATGAGTCCCATACACCAGGACGAAACGGTTGTCCAGTGCTGCTTCCAGGTTTCTAATGATGGTCTAACATTGATCGATTCATGATTCCAAAAATGTGTAACTTAACAATCTTCACAACCCCATAATATGATTTGATTGAGGCATTTTATCACATGATTTTAGAGAATAGATTATTGGTGATTTTAGCAGCTTGATGTTGGATTGGTGTTTCGTCCTATTTATGACTTACTAGCTGGGGGGTGTACTTGGTATCGAGTTACCAAAACCTACTATTAATCCAGTTTTCTTTTCACAATGCAAGCAACTAACTGGCAAATGGTAAACCGCCCTACTAGATTGCCTGCATTAATTATTTAAAACCTTTCCTTTCAAACAATTTTTTACTTGATTATCACTTTGTTATTTTTACAGACAACTGATCATAAAGAAATCATTACACATATAGCTCAATTAGCAGATACTATGACAATCCCAACAGCTTTAGCCTCAATACTATGGCTTCTAGGTGAATTCAGTCATCGTGTTCCGAAAATTGCACCTGATATCTTACGTAAAATGGCTAAATCTTTTGCACAACAAGAGACCATTGTTAAATTTCAAGTAATTTTAATTGATTATCATTTTTATTACACACACTCGCACACACACAAGTTGTCACTGGCATGTTTTATCCGTGTCAATACAGTTCACTTTATTCATTATTGACTTGTGTTTATTCTACTGTAACACAGGTTTGATTATCTCTGAATCATAATATCACTGGAGACTGTAGGATAATATCAATATACGGAGTTGCGCAACCTCATACATAGTCTTCGGTAGTTACTGTCTACACACCCGAACAGGTTGAACTTCACTGGTCACGTCTTCCCACTAGAACTCGGAGAAGATTCCTCACGAAGCTAGTCACTAGTGAGCACAGGTAATTTGCATTAGGGGGGTTGTGAAGATTGTTAAGTTACACATTTTATGAAACCATGAATCGATCAATGTTAGACCACCATTAGAAACCTGCAAGCACTTGACGGCCGTCCAGATTCGTGAGGAATCTTCTCCGAGTTTTACTGGGAGGACGTGATCAGTGAAGTTCAACCTGTTCAGGTGTAGACGGTAACTACCGAAGACTGTATATGAGGTTGCACAACTCCGTGAATTGATCAAGTTAAACATTAATAGCGTTACATACCGGCTCAGTGGTCCGATGGTTAGGCGTTCGCCTACAATACCGAAGGTCCTGTGTTCGAATCCTGTGGGGTGCGGGAGTCATGGATGCGCACTGCTGAGGAATATCATTATAATCATGTGTTGAAATAGTAAAAAAAAATATTCAAAACGTAAATTGTGATATTCAAAAATTAAATTTTATTGACATTTAAAACAATTAGTCCCTGAAAAATGTTGTTGTTATGTGTTTGCTCTATGCATTTCAATTCAGAAAATCAATTAAAGGTCAATTAACATAAATGTCCATATAGGATGGTAATTGTAAATAAAGGAAATTGTCACACCCTAAGCTATCAAATTCAAGGTTATAACAAATTGTTTCCGTACATATAAGGGGAGTTTTTATTTTACAAATAGCCAAGGCTTTCATAAACCTCAAAATTCGTAGGTGTTTCCGTAAGCTACTTGCATTCGATCATAGGTGTTTTCAGAGCCCTGTTGGTGTTTTTTAGGCGGGGGGGGGGTTACAAAGTGAACAATGTCTTGGTGAGGTAAGGAGGATTAAGGTACTATGTAAAGATAACAAATCGATTGATGAGGTTAGTGAATGTTCATCAACTGAGATGGTTAGCACATTTTTTTCACATACATTTATAATCCACCTCCCTCGATGGGTTATGTTGTTTTGGTGTAGAGAAGTTGGCTTGAAGAAGAAAGCTACGGTTGGCCAACACGTTGACAGTTGGACTCGATCGTATTGACAAGTGTAGACTACTTGGCAGCGTTATATACGTTTTTGTTGTTTGACTGAATAACTGAGTGTATATTATGTATGATACTCATATCCCAGTTACAGCAATTGTTTTGTTGAGTTTATACAAAATTTGATTTTATCTTATAGGCAATTCGCGATACACATAAATCTAATTCTTTTTAAAAATTTATTCACACTTTAGAAAGATATTTTTAAAACTCCTTACCACACTTAGTACCATATTGTTTTCTGTTGAATTTAAAAAAATATTATCGGGAATGGTTAGTTGAGCTTTTTGACTACATTCTATCATAAGTCTAATAACAGTCATTCGATCATTCGGCTATTGTTTAATAACCCTAACCCTTAGTTATCAATCGAGTTCCACTTATCAAACTTGTGATTGGATTATCAAATAGAGTAATAGAACACTGTGTTGCAAGTTTTATAAGCATATTAATTGATACTAAAACCAGTTCATAATTGTTAATACTTAGTAACTTTTTCTCCACTTAAATCTTTACAATACATCCACATTCATGAAAGCAGACAGACAGACAAATACAACGCAGAACTTGTACATAAATACATCAATTCAGGTTGCCATACCACATCAGCACAGAGACGCAAATGTCAGTTCAAATCCAAGAGTGATAGCGATAGCAGAACTATTAGCAGCAATGGAGACGATTACCGAGTAAAGATGTGATTCAAAAAATATAATTCAGTGAGATAAATTTAGGAGGAGAAAGATAACGATTATGAGGAATTCAGAAGTTTAGAATTAAAAAGCACACAAAGAGTGGATGCACCTTCCATCCATTGCAAACGATTCTCAGCCATGTCGTTCAAGGTCTCTAAACATTGATGACTTTCGTCTCGCTGACCCCAACCAGATAGATAGCCTACATCTACCAATATGACTCAGTCCACTTGTCAGTGAGTGACTTCATGCATTTTTGCCATTCATGAAAGTGTTGTATTATTGTAGTGAACTATAGTTAAGATTTATCTTTTCAAATGTTCATATTACTTGTCATGTGATTATTGCTTAGTAATCATTTCTGTAGTAATTTATACGTTTCTATCTGTTCTGTTTTCTTTTTCAAACAAAAAACCACCTTCTAGATTATTAATTTAGCAGCTAAATTATGCATTGTCAATCCACGTCAAACGCTTATTCTAACACAATATATTTTTAATTTAGCTAAATATGATACAAATTATGATTTACGTGATAAAGCACGTTTTTTAAGAGGTTTATTATTTCCACAAATTATAACAAATGTAAGTTAAACTTTTTACTATTCCTAATGAGAAAATGTTATTAAAATCATTTTTTTATACCACGTCAGTACTGGTGAAAGCTCGGGTGATTACAGGATAGTGAATACTCTTAACTAAAAATCGTTAGCCTGAAGTAGATGAAGGTGACATGTCTTAATTACATGAAGTAGTTGGGTAATTTTCTTTGTTTTTTTTGGTTAATTATAAGATACAGAGCGCTCGAAAATCGATCAGAGACTAAGAAACTATTGATAATATTTTGTGTAATGAGCGTTCAATAGAAGCTCCCCGGGGTATTCTAGAAAAATCAGGTGTTATATATCGCATCCTTGTTTAATAGTTACTGAGTTCGTTACCAAATTTAGCATATCTTCGAGAATTTCTATAGCATCAAGGTCATACACAAACTTAACTTTTAAATTTAAACTCATTTCATGCTTTCTGCCCGTGTTTGTGGTTCGAGCTTAGAGGAATCTCAGTGACTAGCATGTGTCATAGAAAGTTAAATATCAAATGTTCACTTATCGATTGTATCAACATATTTGATGGAAATCAGTAATTGAAAGACCACCATGAAAATTTGAACACCAAAGCTTATGGTTCAACGGAAACAAACAACACTAAAGTGTAGGAAGTTAAGAAATGACGCTTAGCTCGAAATTGGTAGGGAATAGTAAATAATTGAAACTGCGACTGATTTTATTCTGTTTCATCAAAAATCTATGACTACTAATTACAAGCATTGTGTAATTCTCAGCTAAGTCAGTCGTGGAGGCTAGAGAGTTATTACCCGTTGGGAGAAAGATTTGATTGTGGCTAAGTTGATCTCGTGTATTGTTACGGGTATCACGGTGAATGTCACTTCTCGTCTGCTCATGCCATAGAAGAATATTTCCTGAGGAACCTACATAGCAAGTTCACCTGGCGTTGGTCTCAGCGGCCTGGGAACGTGGTCGCAGAGCTCAAGGGACAACTGCTTAAGGCCGGTCACACAGTTTAGGGTCAACCTTCTCTAACCCCTTCCTTCCTTGTGAAAAGGTTGCATCGCTACAGATGCTGTTTGCCCGAGGGAAATACCTTATTTGTCACATACTACTAAAGTGTCAGCAATACGATTTCGCCCTCAGATTTAAAGTTGCTACTTTTAGTCTTACCGTCCTCCAATCGATCTGCCTGGCATGGTAAGTCCTAAAAGAACATGTGGAATCGCCAATATAGCTCACGACGGACAAGCCTCACCACCTCCGTTGATAGATATCTAACTGATTTACTCTATTTCCAGTCTTAGCATTGCTCAATCACTACCTTTATTTAATATAAGTCAATAGTGTTTTGAAGATATCTGTAATGAAATGTTTACAAACTACAGGTTATATCATCTACCTTCTGTATTGCATCGTTTTCTGTGTTGATTCAGTTAGCCAATCAGTAGACAAACTAATATAATGCACATTTCATCACTTATCTTTGTGCATGCTTCAAATATTTATTGTAGCATACAAAGACTAAAACTAATTTTTGTTATTAATAAGAAATTTATTTTTGTTTTATTTACAGCCAAATTTGATTGGCGATGATAGCTCATCAGCACCTGGAGTCCAGAAAAATGCATTGAAGTCGAATAATACTAATCATAATATTAATAGTAGTAGTACATTTTTATCTAAAAATATTCGTAAAATATGTTTGGCTGCTAAACCAGCACCAGTAATCAAATCACAATTTGAAGGTAAGTTTTTACTACTTTTATTCGTTTCATATTTTCGATATACAACTAAAAGGACTGCTAGATTTGATGTATTATACTACTTATCTACTTAGGATTAAAAAATTTGCTAACGTACAAGTTAATCATTTATAAAAATCATACAACCTTGGAAAGCAGTCAGTCAGATGCAACGTAGAACTTCGTACCTAAGTACATCAGTTCATGTTGCCATACCTTATCAGCACAGAGATATAATTGTCGATTCAAATCCAATAGTAGAAGAGGTAGTAAAAATATTAGAAGTAATCGGAGAGATTAGGATTACAAGAGATTATTCAAGAAGCATGATTCAGTGAGATAAGTTTAGAAAGTCAAAACTAGAGGTGTTGGAGAATCCAGAAGATTATGAGTTGAGAAAACACAAAGAATAAATGCACCGGCGCTATTGCAAACGGTTTTGAGATGTGTCATTCAGGGTATCTAACCATCGATTATTATCATCTCGCAGACCCCAACAAGGTAGTGGACAACTGCCTATATGGCTAATTCCACTTGTCAATGACTTCATGGATTTCTGCCATGTTTTGGTTTGGCCGCCCCTAGCTTTCTTCCAACCTATTCCTACACTACAAAACATAGCTCGACGAGGCAGTCGGTGGTTAGGCATACGCAACACATGTCACAACCACCTCAACTGATGAAGTTTCATTACTTCATCTATTGATCTGCCATTCTTACCTAGCACCCGATTCCTAATAACAGCGTTGCTCACTCGGTTGTCCCACGATATACGAGCAATGCTTCGAAGACACCTATGATCGAAAACCAATAACCTACGAATATCTTCAACTCTCAATGGCCATGTTTCACAGTCATAAAGTAAGACGGAGCGAACTACTGCACAGTACACTCGTCCCTTAGTCAGCAAAACTTGGATATATATATGCCTCTTTCAAAGTCACCAGCCCATATCGTTACAGCCGGATGAAATTTCTAAGACAAATTTCCAATTACTAGTAGTTTTATTAGTAGTATCAGTAATAGTAGAAAAGATGCTGAGGCTTGGACAATATAATTCGAGAAAGAATAAATTGTCGTCATAAAAACTGTATGATAGTTTCAGAGTTCATCATGATCCAAGGTCAAACAGAGAGTGAGTGCATTCAGACCGTTGTGGTCATTGATGAACTATATAACCTATAGTCTGCAATCGTTGTTCATTAGTCACGGTATTTACTTGCACTCTAATGAGATATTGATTTAAGTTACTAAGCAATTTAAACTATAAATCTTTCCGTAGTATAACCTATTGTTAATGATATATCATCAACTTAGTGTTTAAATACTCATGCACTTCACAATTGGCCATCACTATTCTCCAATACGTTAGAAATATTAGTTGTTAGTTTATATTATATATTTAATAAGTCGTTCGATAAACTTTTAAAGCATTTCGGCTGTAAATTACTGCTGTAGTATAGGTATTTTTTGCCTGATATCGATTTTGATCAGATTTTTTTCAACGTTGATATTTCTAGTATCCGAATCATCCGGCCAATCATATATTAGGTCACCGATTCGAACCCCTCAATAGAGATACCTTGCTTTTGCGAATAGAATAGTATTATTGTCCTTCTTAATTAAATTTTTGGCTTGAAGATGAGTAAACAAATATGTACTTGTTTCATAAGTTAGGTTCTTAGTTAAAATATAAAATTGTTTCTTCTGAAACGTTCAAACCATAGGTATCGACAGAAATTATTCATTCATTGTTGAGATACCTTCATAATTTTTTTGAGAAATTTAAAAAATACGACTAACCGACTGTGGGGGAGGTTAGATCCCCAGAACTCGCTTAATAAATGTCTTAATTTTGGATTTTATTCATAGGCTGATCAGTTGACCTTGAGATCACGTTTCCAACCAGGAAAATCCTTGGCTGCGGTTGATTGATGTGTTATCTTAATATGCTATATTTATGACTCACCCAAGGATGTTTCTATGATGTATAAATAAACGCGATTTGTGTGTCTGAGATCATTGCATTTGCTGGGTGTTTGTAGGATACACTTTCTACGCTATATCAAGACTTTTTCTTCAGTTAGTTGGGGCAAGGGATCAGAATAGCCCACCGTGTCATTGGATCATTGTCTCGTTCTCGTTTATCGACTAAGGTGAACTCGTTATAGTTTCACGCATATCAATGACGAGCATAACACCAACGTTCTTTACAACTGCCATGATGCTTATTGTTAACTACAGTGTTGTCATTATCCAGTTGGGTCATAACAATATTTTATTATCAGTTTTAGTGTATATTTTTTTAGAATCCCTTAGATTCAAGATGTCACACATAGTCTTATGAGTTTTCTTGCTATGTATGCATCATTGAATTTAAGTACTCAGGTTCTTCCTCTACACTTTGGGTTTCTGTCTTAGGGTCAAGAAACCTGTCAGACTCTTTCTAAGCGTTTCAGTACAACAGCAAGTGTCAGTTATTCACAAATCAATTTATGAAATTGATTCTTCCGATTCGTTTACTTATTTTTCTTTTTATGTATAAATCTTCCATTGTCTAGGTAGATCCAGTTTTCGTCTAGGTACATTGTCCCACATACTACAACATCGTGTACCAGGTTATCGAGATCTGACAGATTGGCCAATTATACCACCGGATCCATGGTCACGTGTTATCGCAACACCCGCTCAATCGACCACGTCATCGAATGATAATGAATCTTCCGAAATGAATTCATCTAAATCGTCTATCGGTCATGTGAAACATAAAGTAGACGAGAAAAAAACAGATCGTTTTGGCAATGTTTCTTTAAATGATTTCTTTTCAGAAACAGAAGATGAAGAGGATGACGATGATGGCGATGAGGAGGAGGAGGAGGAAGAGGAAGATAATGAAGAGGAAGAGCAAGAGGAAGAAGAAGAAAGAATCGATGAACTAGTTGATGAACAACGAAAAAGTAATAAAAAAGCTGTACATACATTGTCAGTAAGTTGTTATCTTTCTATTACATAACATGTAATACAACAGTTCTATTTTTAAGTTTATAATTTAAATTTTGATCGTAGCCAGACGATGATTGTCTCAGCATAGATCGTTTTAGGATTTTACATTAACAATCTATAAACTATCATCACCAATAATTTGATATTTAAAAGAAACACTTCTTAGGTAGTTTTCAATAGTCGAAATTAAACTCGACTTAACCTAGATTTTGTTCTTGTAAAAACTTGTTAGTTTACGTGCACCTTACTGATACAAATGAGATCTGAACTCACATAATTCAGTTTCACATTCTTAGCCGTCTCCATTCTTCTGTTTGCTACTAACGTTAGAGCAACTAAGGTATTTTTGCTGCACAGAATGATCGTTGAATAGTAACCAGTCAGTTGTAGAAAATTTTCTGTGTTATGTTCGTCACTAGGTACGCTTGAAGCTATTACGAGTTCACCTTAGTCGATAAACGCTAAGGAGACAATGAACCAGCGTTCACGTAGGCTACCTTGAATCCCAAACTGCAAAACAGAAGACTTGGTAAGCATAGAAAGTATATTCTAAAAACAACCAGCAATCACAGTACAATCAAGCATACAACTCTCGTTTATTTATACATCATAGAAACGTCCTTGGGATAGTTACGAAAATAGCACACTGAAATACGCAGCCGCCAATCACAACCGAGGATTTTCCCGGTAGGAAATATGATCTCCAAGTCAACTGATCAGCCCGTAGTCGCAAACGTGAAATCCAAGATAAGGCATTTATCAAGCGAGTTCTGGGGATCTAACACCCCCAACAATCTGAACAAAGGATAAAGTATTAGTAATTTAGAGAATCGAATTTACGATTTATTATTTCTGTTGTCTTACCGGTCTAATATTTATCGTCTCTCGTACTTATAACCATTTTGGCTCATTCATGTATAATTGTTATTTTTTGAAGTGAGAATAGTACTAACTATTTCATCCTGAAAACGTTTACTTTTCATCAGTGTTAAGATGTTTTTTTTTAAGAAAACCTAATCTTTCAAATATTATATTAAAGTGTTGAGATTTATTAACACTATAGTGTTTTTTTGTCATGTCACAGTCATTCTATAAAACTGGAAATACTTCCAGTGACACTGATCAAAACGATGAATCTACTACTAGTGATGAAGATCAAATTGAAAAAAATGAGTCGATCGACAAAGATAATGACAATGATCATGATTCGGATTCTGATTTCGATATAGAATATTTACTTCGATCAAAACAATTGTCTACAATACAAAATCATATTACCAAAAACTCATCTGTTTCGTCTAATCGCTCTGATACTCAATCATCTTCATTATTACCAACGGATACTCCGACTCCCGTTACTACTACTCTGAATGATTCTGTTACTTCTGAATTATTGAAAGAAACTACATTTGTTGAAGAAACATTTACGCATAATACTAACAATAATAATAATAATGATAATGATAATAATGAAGTACAGATTTCGTTGAAACAAAATTTGAATAGTTGGCTAAACACTCAATCATCATCATCATCGTCATCGTCGAATGAATCGATTTATGATGCTGTAATAGAAGAGGATATGATGAAACAGGCTGTTGAACAATCATTAGTAATTTATAATTTACATTTAATTCATTGATAATGTTTGATTTGATTGATATTTTATTGTCTTTCTGTACGAGCTATGTTTTGTATTGTGGGAGAGAGTAGATTGGAAGAAAGCTAGAGGGGGCGGCCAAACCAAAACATGGTAGAAATGCATGAAGTGACTGACAAGTGGACTGAGTCATGTTGGTAGGTGTAGGGTACCTGGTTGGGTTCCGCGAGACGAAAGTCATCAATAGTTAGAGACCTTGAACAACATGGCTCAAAATCGTTTACAATGGATTGCAGGTGCATCCACTCTTTGTGTGCTTTTTAATTCTAACCTTCTGAATTCCTCATAATCTCTACCTTTCTCCTTCTAAATTTATCTCACTGAATTATACTTCTCGAATCATATCTTCTCTCCCTAATCTTCTCCATTACTGCTAATAATTCTACTATCACTATCACTCTTGGATTTGAACTGACAGTTACGTCTCTGTGCTGATGGGGCATGGCAACCTGAACTGACGTACTTATGTACGAAGTTCTGCGTTGTGTCTTTCTGTCACTTCTTATCACTAACCAACCGAGTCAGTGTTATTTAGAAATTTAAAAAAAAAACTCAAGAAGAGCAGCAGCTAAGTATTATCAGTGCTAATAGATAATTGATTGCGCCATTGATTGAAATTAAATATGTATATCGATCGACTCTAACTCAATTAATCAATCAATCAATCCATCTGTAGACCCTTCGGGGCTACTGCTAGTCCCAACCCCGGATAAAGGAAAAGGGTTGGGGTTGGCGGGCCCATCCCGTAAAAATCTAGTTCGCTAAGAAAAACGCTAACAAGAAAAAATAATTCAAACCATATAAACGCTACTCTTGGAGAGAGAGAAGGTCGTCATTTAGGAGAGTTATGATGTCGCATGATGAAAGCCGAATTCCTTTGAAAGTCACGAGGCCGATGACCCTTCTGACAACCAGAAACCTTCGACGGTATGGGCAGCCGTAAAGTAACATCTGCTCTCATACCCATAAAAACGCACGACTCTAACTGACTGATATTTGAAATTTAAGCACTAAACACACAGTGTTTAAAAATATAGGAAATATGTGTACTACTGATACGTTTTATGTACTAAAACGTACCAGTTATCCAGTAATTCCTGATTATTTTTTCTAACTTAGATTATTGGAGTCTCATCAGCTGACCAAAGGACGGGTGTACTGCGCAGCAGTTCGCTCCGTTCTTCTATATGGATGCGAAACATGGCCGTTAAGAGTAGAAGATGTTCGTAGGTTACTAGTATTCGATCATAGATGTTTAAGAAGCATTGCTCGTATCCCGTGGGACAACCGAGTAAGCAATGCTGTCGTTAGGAAAGTGGTGCTAGGTAAGGATAGCAGATCAATAGATGAAGTATTGAAACTTCATCAGTTGAGGTAGTTGGGACATGTGTTACTAATGCCTAACCACCGACTGCCGCGACGAGCTATGTTTTGTGGTGTAGGAGAAGGTTAGAAGAAAGCTAGGGGCGGCCAGACCAAAACATGACGTAAATGCATGAAGTCATTGACGAGTGGACTGTGTCATGTTGGTAGATGTAGGCTACCTGGTTGGGGTCCGCGAGACGATGGCAACCGATGGTTAGAGACCTTGAACGATATGGCTCAAAATCGTTTGCAATGGCGCAAGTGCATCTATTGGTTGTGCTCTCTCAAATTCTAATCTGCTGGAATCGTCAGCTCCTCTACCTTTGTCTTTCTAACCTTATCTCACTGAATTATACTTCTTGAATAATATCTCCAAACCCTAGTCTTCTTCATTACCATTAATACCTCTACTATCTTTATCACTATGGGATTTGATTTGACATTTGCGTCTCTGTGTTAATGTGGTATGGCAACATGAACTTATGTACATACGTACGTAGTTCTACGTTGCAACTGACTGACTGACTGATTGGAGAGAGAGAGAGTTGAATTAGAAAATATTTATTTCGCCAGTGTATACTCTTTCGATTAGTACCATTATTTGTTACGCAATGACAATATCAAACTTTTAAGACCGCTCTAGCCAAAGTCAAGACGTAATGCTAATTGATTTTATTTGGTATTTTTAGAAATAAGGTCCATAGCATTAAAATGCTTCCTTTGTTTCAATAAATTGATTATGCTATCTTATCATGTGCCGCTTTTATCATGAAATGTTATTTCTTTCTATAAAACCTTGTTGTGATAAGTTTTATCAATATAAGTTGTACATACCAGAAGTCGATCTCTATCAATCAATCAATCTACAGCAACGTAGAACTTCGTACATACGTACATTAGTTCAAGTTGCCATACCATACTAGCACAGAGATGTAATTAATTGTCAATTCAAATCCCATAGTAGTAGAGATAGTAAAAGTATTAGCAGTAATCGGAGAGATTAGGATTAGGAGATATGATTCAAGAAGTAGATGGAATCTAGGGAAATAAACAATGGTTAAACGTCCACCGTCAAACCTAAAGGTATGAAGCTTAACCTCTGACCAAAGTCTTTGGTTTACGCTTCTAAGGACCAAATAACTATTCATTACCCACCGCTCTTCAATGGTCCCGTCAAATTAGGTTAATTTCTAACAAATTCTACCTAATAATCAGACCAGTTTCCATTAAAATTCGTTCAATTAAAGTATTAGTATACTTCTACTAAATTATCAGGTTTATTAATTTTGATAAGAAAAATCGATGGCTTATTGGTTTAAGGAATTTATTTTTCTATTGTTAGGTTGGAAGTTAGAACGCTGTTTCATACTACTTGACGGTCATCAGGTAGTTGAATCGTCAATTCAGTCATAAATAACACAACTGCTCAATTTTGACTGTGTATTTCTTATTAGGCTAACTTCATGAGTGTCACTATGAATCCACTTAAAAATGTTCAGATGCCGAAATACCAGTTTCGTTGGGAAAGCGTGTTTTCAAGCATCACTTAAATCCGCAAGCATGCAAAAACAACTAGATAGAATTTCTCGAATATCGTTGTGCCATAAGGTGATTGGATGACGGTGATGTAAAATTGCTTACTGAGGATAGTATGATTTTATTTACTGTTTTCACACCATACAAAAAACTGTGATACACACACAGCTATTCTGTACATTTCTCTCACGTACTGTACTAAAAATTTCTTCTGTCTCTTCCAATTTTTATCCTACTACCTGGGGAGGTTCTACTTGTTTCAGTGCGAATGGTTGAATTGTGTGTTGGTCGTTCTAGTAGCAGACATAACAATTTCCGATTAGTGTAAATCAATAAACTCATGTCATTTTGCATCTTCGAGCACCGGTTGCAGTTATCTTTGGGTAGTCTGAATTCACCAATACCACTCAAATAAGCAGTCATCAACTGGTACGATGTTTTGGCTTGTCTGCCTTTGTCTTCTTACTAACTCATTCCTACTCCAGTTAATATCACTTGTTTACGTACGCAGTGGTTGGGCATACGTAGCACGTTTTGTTCAAACTTAAAACCTTCGTATTTTTATTAGAAATTTTTTCATTTTCTTGCATTCCAGGTAAATACTAGTGATTCTATCCAGAATTGTGAAAATAATCAGCTTTCTGCGAATGAGACATCAGAAGATGTGATTCATGCACAATTAAATTGTGAAGGTATATATATTTTTTAAAATAGTTTGATAACATAACAATATGCAATGATTTACTTATGTACTCAAATACAAATATTTCCATGCCTGGCAATCAGCATCAAGCCGTGGAATTAGCAGGTTCCATTTCAACGGTTTTATTATAACTGTCTCCTGTTGGAATTGAACTGTACCAGTAATGACAGCTCATCGAGACTTTCAGAGAAGACACTGAAGGAGTTCACCAGTGAATGCATAGCTATTTTTTAGATGAGAGGATTAGTTTACAAACAGTAATACTCTAAGTGATGTTGATACGTGATGAATAACCCTTACCAATGAAAATGATTTTCACAATGTCCTATCAACGATTTCTTCGCTAAATAAATTATTTTATGACTTGACTGACATTGCCTACCGTGGCTGCTACCTTGACATATTTCTATTTACACATTCTTTGAAACCATGAATCGATCAATGTTGGACCACCATTAGAAACCTGAAAGCACTGGACGGTCGTTTCGTCCTGGTATGGGACTCATCAGCAGTGCGCATCCGACTCATGCACCCCGCAGGATTCGAACCCATGACCTTCGGTATTGTAGGCGAACGCCTAACCCTCGGGCCACTGAGCCGAAGGTCGATTCATGGTTTCAAAAATGTGTAACTCAACAATCTTCACAACCCCGTAATGCATATTTCTATTTGGTGAAGACGCTGACAAAGTGCAAAGTCTTCCGAACACCTTAAGCAACAACGCAAGCATGTTCGGGAAGCGATTCCCTAAGTGCAGGATTCGCTTGCGTGAGTGAAGTAGTTGAGCGTGTTGACCACTTCACTTATCTCGGGAGTCTCACCAATGCTGATGGCCTGGTGTCTGATGAAATCTCAGCACGGATACAGAAGGCTCAACTGGCTTTTGCTGACTTGCGTCATTTATGGTATAGGACAACTCTACTGCGCAGAACTTGGCTGTGAAAGATGGCCCGTAAGAATACAGGATATTTTTAGGCTGTCACTAATCGATGATAGGCGTCTTCGAAGTAGTGATCGTATATCCTAATACCACAGAGTAAGCAATGATGTTGTTAGGAAAAGAGTATTAGGTAAGGATCGCAAATCAACTGACGAAGTAGTGAATCTTCATTAGTTGATATTGTTGGAACGTGTTACGTATGCCCAACCACTGACTGCCCCGAAGGGCTATGTTTTGTGGTATAAAAGTAGGTTCAAAGAAAGCTAGGGGCGGCCAAACCGAAACTTGGTAAAAATCCATGAAGTCACTAATATGTGGGTTGTGCCATGTTGGTAAGTGTAGACTATTTGGTTGTGGACTGCGAGATGATAGTAATCGATGGTTAGAGATCTTGTATGACATGGCTCAAAATCGTTTGCAGTGGCTCATGTACATCTGTTCATTAGGTTCTCCCAAATTCTAATCTGAATTATTTATGATTTTCATCTCTCTGCACTCAAATTTCTTTCGCTGAATTATACCCTTTGAATAACATCTCTTTTCGATTACTGCTCATATTCCTACTACCTCTACCACTATGGAATTTGAATGGACAATTAAATCTCTCTGTGCTAATGCGATATGGCAGTTTGAGCTGAGGTACGTACTTACGAAGTTCTATGTTGTTGCTGACTGACTGATTGGCATATCCCGACAACCCTGACGTGGTTGTTGGGCTTGCCTATTGTGGTGACCCAACCGAGCTATATTGGCTGTAACATATGTTCCTGTTGGTCCTACCATTCCGAGCAGGTCAACTAAAAAACGGTAAGACTGAAAGCATCAATGTCAAATCTGAGGGCGAAGTTGTACTGCCGACTTCAGAGGGGTGCGACAGCAGTAAGATGTTTCCCTTGGACAACCAGCATCTGCAGCGACGCTACGTTCCCACATGGAAGGAAGGGGTGAGATTAGGTAGACTCTAAGTATGTCACACCTCACTTTCTGTTACAGGTGGTAAACCCTTTTGAAGAGCGGCGTTAATACTTCAAAAACTTCATAAGGAAAGGCTATGTGTAATCAGTCTCAATCAGTTGTCCCTTGTGCGCTACTGTCATGTCCCCAGGTCGATAAGACCAACGCTAATCTAATTTCCTTTAGAGGTTTCTCAAGCAATACCCTTCCACAGTTTAAGCATCAGGAGAGTGACATTCGCTCTTCTACTTGTAACAGTACACGACTACAAACTAGTTACAATCGAATTCTTCTTACACATCCTAATAACTCTCTTATCTCAACAGCCAACTCTTATTTCATTCCTTTGCCACTTCTCACCGCTGATACAAACGTTTCGAGTCTACGAAATGTTATTCCTGGTCTCCTGAAACCACGCTCCAAACTCTACACGTCCGGACCTGGTGCCAAATAGGACAAAAGACTTCCTTAGCTGGGGCTTTGAAATCCCATACCATCGATGTATGCTGTGTCTTCGAAACGCGCATACAGAGTCCAAGTAGCGTTATTCCTTTGACATCTACATGTCAAAATAAATAACCATCTCGATTCACGCTTCGTGTATCTGGGACACCCTACTGCTGCTTCCCGTAGCCTTGCTGATGTACGTATTGCATTAAGTCCTAGGGCAGAATTATCTCTTTTATACTGGATCCGAGTAGATAGTTGCTTTTGCGCTGTCCGACTAAACAAGACAGTAAGGACTCGGAAAGATAGGGACACTTGCCATTGCCTCTTCGTTGTCTCTGACTACGCTCCCACTGATTGCAGCTCGGATGTGGTAATCTTTAAAATTTCTCATGACCGTTTTTTTCCCATTTTTTGATTTATTTCACTGGATTATACTTCTTGAATAATATCTCCAAACCCTAATCTTCCTCATTACCGCTAATACTTCTACTTAGATCGACAATTCAATCTCTCTGTGCTATTGTAGTATCGCAACTCGAACTAATGTACGTACGTACGAATTTCTACGTTGTTGCTGACTGACTAATTGATATATGCAAATTTTAAGAAAATTATCGCTCTCTCTCTCTCTCTCTCTATATATATATATATATATATATATATATATATATATATATATATATATATATATTTATATATATTCTTTAAGAATTGGAATGAATCGTAAATTAAGATTTCTGTACTCTAGATAATTTTGAACGACATAATGAGAAAACTGATGTTTCGTTAAATATTTCTAATCTTCCACAACAAGATCAAGACAATGAATGTGTTAACTTTCCTTTACAGGTAAATCATTCTTTGTTGTAATGTATGTCTATTTTTATATATGTTACGCCTGCACGTAAACATGTCAACTTGATATACTTAAACTATTACGAGTTTACCTAGTCGGAAAACGAAAGCTAGAATCGAGGATCCGGTTATACGACATACTACTCAAATCCGATTATCCTAAGACTTGATATGAAGTAGAACATGTATTCTACAAGCATTCAGAAAGTGCGAGGTCCGAATCCAGAAGAGAATCAGGATCCCGGACTAGGGATCCGGGACCGAGCCCTGGTCGTGGTCATAAAGTGTTACAGATAATGCGTTTTTATACATTTTGGTCGAATCGGAAACAGCATCGAATTCTGTGGCATTGACAGTTAAGAAGACCAATAGGAAGTAACATTTGAAGTGACATTGATAGTCCGGATGACCAATAAGAGACAACATTGAAGTATATGACTTTGACAGTTAAAACGACCATAATTTTGACCAATAGAAATCGACCAATAGGATTTGACCTATAATTCTCTTAGGATATTGGATGAATATCCTAACAATATATTTGTTAAACATTTATTTCTCATTTAAGTGTAATTATGTGAGAAATTGTGCTATTCGAGCTGCATATTGAGACAGTATGCAATGTTTGATGGAAAGTTTTCACATTTAGTTTCATACCTGGTGAATTATCTACAATTTATACTTTATCTAAGTAGTCTATCTGTCCAATAAATACGCGAACTGAAATACTAGAAACTTTTAAATAGTCTTAATTTGTAACAATACACTTTTCTTGTCATGTTTTCAGTTATTTTGAAATGTCCCTGAAAGTCTTCAGATGTTAAACTTTTTCACGTAATTTATTGTTTCTCATTTTACCATAATCGTGTTCACCACAAATTTATTTCCCTAAATTCTGATCATCAGTGATCGTGCATGATTGTTGGAGTTCCTCACTTAAATAAAACAACTTTTTACCGGCACTATAATTTGCTGACGGCCTTTTAGAAATTATAAAGTAACTTTGAGAAAATTTAACTAATTATCATGCTCAAAATAAGTTTACGAACTAGTATGAGGAATTATGATTGGTATTTACAGTTAAAAGTTGAGACTATCAGATTTTCATTGCACACTGACGTCGGCTATAATTTGAAATCATCATTCAGTCACTGTTAGATCACCATTAGAAACTTGGAAGCACTGGACGGCCGTTTAGTCCTGGTATGGGACTCAACAGCAGTGCGCATCCAAAACTCCTGCACCTGGCAGGACTCGGTATTGTTCGCGAATGCTTAACGTCTGAACCACTGGGCCGGCATCCAACGGTGTTAATGTCTAAATCTGATTGATCTAGGGATTTGTCGCGACATCACCCATTGGTCTTTGGTAGTTACTGCCTACACGCGACAGGGTTGAACTTCGCTGATCTCGTCTTCTCACTAGAACTCCGAGAATTTCCTCACGAAGCTAGTCACTAGTGAGGAAATTCTCGGAGTTCTAGTTGAGAAGACGTGATCAGCAAAGTTCAACCCTGTCGCGTGTAGGCAGTAACTACCCAAAGACAAATGGGTTATCATCCATCAACAATGAAAACCTTTAATCTTGAGGGAATTGTTGCTCCTTATGGATGATAGTGACGTGTTAAACTACGGAGCTAGATGTGTGTGTTTGAATCCATTAAGCAATATCAGTTCTCTTCAAGACGTCAAGTAAGCGTCAACTAACACCACAGCGCATGTCAAGTAAAGTTTCCTATTGATTCTTTCCAACCATCTAATTATGTACTACAAATTTTGGTCAACTAACATATTTAATAAGCTAAAAAACCTTAATTTGATTTGGTTTTCTTTTCATCTATAAATAGATCGGTAACTATTCACTTTTATGGTATACTCTAACTAATCTCCACAACACTGATATAACTGGTCAATTACAATATGCTCGTATTGTTTGGCCAAATCATCCAAAACTAGTTGTGATCAATTTGAAATTATCCAATCAGAATACATGTGTAGATTTAAGAAATATTCAATTTGACCTCATGAATACCGTTATGGGTCGACTATTGATTGACGCTAACCGAATTCAATCTTTCAGTCCAATAGGTAATTAATAATGTTGCTGCTAACAATAGTGATGGATTTCATATTTCATATTACTTACTTTTAAATATATGTGTTTCCAGTGACGCAACCTTGATTAAACATTGATGATTCTTAAAGAGTTTAACGTTTATTCACGCGTATAGGTTGATTTGAATTTTCGCGCTGTTATATTTGCACTGCTATCGTTGGCATATATGCATCTTGTGCAGATTGACATGGAATCCACGATGCATATTTCGTCATTTTTGGGACCTGGATATATGTGGATTTCTAGCCACTATTCTATTCTCAAAAAGGTTTAATGCTTTATCACTGATCATTATATATCGATTATTTATGATTGGATGTGTTCGTGTGATGCTTGAGGAAGAGCTCTTGCTTAAACTGAAAAAAAATGATTTAATCTCTCTGAGCATTTTCTTACGACTACTCAGCTTGCTATAAGTTGAATACACCCGATCCTTTGAGAGCAAAAAGTATGGAGGTTTATGTAGTTCGAATTTACAACATTCTAATATGATGATAAATGCATTTTCATGTACTCATATATTCCAATGTTATAGATCTGTTGTCATTGTCAAAATCAATGATTGTTGACTCGCTTCGGACATTGTTTGAATTTCGAAAATGTTGTCTTATCGACTTAATAACAACATCAATATTCCACCAACGACAAATTATTAAATATTGTCTCTACAACTAGAGCGATAAACCTATATTCTGAGCACTTTTTGAATTTTCATTAGTTTTACAGTTTAAGATGTCCGCCTAGAGCCCTTCTAGGATTACTGCTGGCCCTAAGTCCAAGTAAAGAAGGAGGTTTGTGCATTCTCTTAGCGACCCTATCCTGTAGAAATCCGACTCGCTAAAAAAACGCTAACCAGAAAAATAATTCACTGATCCAGTGACAGAAGTTCGTACGCACGTACATCAGTTCAGGTTGCCATGCCCCATCAGCATAGACACGCAACTGTCAGTTCAAATCCAAGAGTAGGGGGTGTAGGAAGGATTTGATTTTGACCAATTTGATCTCGGGTGCTGGTACGGGTATGAGGGCGGTTGTCACTTCCCGGCTGCCTACACCGTGGAAGTTGGCTTATGCTCCATTAGGGAGTAACGGGTGTAAGTAAGTTTACAGTCGACGATGATCCATAAAAATAATCCTAGGAGTGTTGCCATTTCTCTAATCTTTCTTCCTCCCAAATAGCATGGTATGAAATTTTCAATCAATCTCCACAATATTTCATAACAATAAATAAAAGTTTCTACTATTGTTAAATAAGTAGTCAAATACACTAGTTATCATGACGTAGCTTGTTAATATATACAATTCTGTTTCAACATATTTCATTATTTTGGGGCACAGTTTTGGAGGTTTGCGTTTTTACACGTTTGAAATCATCAATCAATCGTGGATGCGCACTGCTGATGAGTCCCATACCAGGACGAAACGGCCGTCCAGTGCTTCCAGGTTTGTAATGGTGGTCTAACAATGATTGATTGATGATTTCAAATATTTCATTATATTTTCAATTAATTTATTTATCATCTTGCTCATTATATATATCTTAAACAGTACTTCTGAAACCTCAATCAACGTGTACCATACAATTTGGCATAGATTTCGCTGGATTCTGTGATCCAATCGACTTAGATCTGATTTATGAAATGAAATCAAATTCAGTAACTAATATGAATAATAATATTACTGATAATAATAATACTAGTAATAATCAGGAATTACCACACAGATGGAGAATTTGTTTAAATCCACCAGCATCGGAATTAATACGACCGGTTTGTTTAAATGAAAATGAATATTTCGAAGAAAGATGTGCGTTAGTTTGTTTTTTTGTCTGTGAATCTTATTATTAATTAATTTATTTATCTATTATTATTATTATTATTATTATTATTATTATTATTATTGTTCGTCTCTGTACATGAACTTTCTAGGTTATTGTTGTAGTTGCCATTTTCTTCGAATCTAGGCGATTATTTAAACTAGGTCAAGGCATTTTATACGAAGATGAATAAAAGGTCAATTAAATAAAAGTACAAATAGACATAACGTGATAATTGTAAATAAAGGAGAGAGAAAATTAACGTAATATGAAAAGAATCAGAAAGGGTAGGAAAATTGTCACATTACCCCTGGCTTAAAGATGACCTTGAATTTATTCAAGGTTATGACAAATTGTTTCTGCACACATAAGGAGGATTTTAAATTTCGAATAGCCAAGGACTCCATAGCCCTCAAAATTCCTCCTTCAACATTTCTATACAATGTTTTGAAGGCTGTCTTGATGTCAATCTTATGCCCTGTCTCTTGATTATGTGTTTTGCGATCGATGAACATAGTTTTGTATTTCCTACGCTAATCAGCTCATCTGACGTTAACTGATTTTGAAGCCACTTAGGCATTATGATGTTCCATAACCCTTCATTGCAAAATCCGATTACTCCTCTCTCTATGTATGTGTGTCCACACAAACATGTAAATTGATAAATGCAATGGGATGTGTTAAAGAAATCAACGTCTCTCAGTTACTAGACAACTTCAATAGCCTTCAGAATGACATTGTACTAACTCATATGAACCAGAAAATAATAATCGATTGCCTTTTTTAAACATACCGTTGAGTCGAAGGGAGAATGGAACCAGTAGGAATTGACCAAATATAATGGATATCCCAACAGCCCTGGATATGCACAACTGAGGAGTTCTGTATATTAATACGGGATAGTTATTAAATCCTTTGTTGTTCACGGTGATTTTCCAACTATTTGCAACAATTCACAATCTGGTCATTAATAATATTTTAATTGTAAGGTTTCTGTATGACGTTTACGAACTGTTTAGTAAAGAAACAAACCAACGTTTTTTTTATAGGTAAATTTTACTGGACTCGTTTTACAGAAAATTTCGAAATATATATATATATATATATATATATATATATATATATATATATATATATATATAGCCCAACGTGGATTTATATAAGTATAATATTTTAGGTGGTTGTAAGTAATTGACAGCAAATGCAACCTATATGTTGTGCTGCTGGTTGGTACTTATCATCAAGAGAGGTGGTATATTTAACACTGTCGGAATCAATACTTCCCGTAGGATTCGAATTCACACCATTCGGCTTCAAAATCTCTAAAAATACATTAATCTTATAAGAGAACTTCAAGTCATTATGTTTGTTTCTGTGTGTTTTATTTGTGGGGTTTTTAATAACGATTCATTTTTCAATTATTTGGAATCAAAAGTATGAATGTTGCTTTCCGTGCATTTATTTAGTCATTTCGGTTAATAGAACTTTTACAAAAAAAATCATTCATTGTTAGTTGGTGTCAAGTTAGTGGGTAAGCAAAAAAATATTCAGATTGGAATCAAGAAGTAAAATGATCCTAATAAATAATTGGAAGATATCAAGTGATAATTAATTAGAAGCGCAGATCTTTCCTCTTATACATATACACAAGCTTTTTCATACTTGAACAATTGTTGTATGCTGAGTTGTAAATTGATGTTGGTCAGCTAAAGAGTAACTACTATGTCCAAGTTCTACTCAACTAGTATTTGATTTAAAAATTTACTATTGACAATGTTAACTTCTACTAGAAATAAAGAAAACATTTGCCTTATATGTGGTTGGTGGTCATGATGTCAAGTTATATTATTCAAACAACAATTAATCGCAGTTTTTATGTGGTCAACTAGTATTAAAGAACAAGTACCATCAGATTGGAAAGAAAGATACCTAATCAAAATAGCAAAGAAAGGCGATCTCAGTGAATGTGAGAACTAGAGAGGCATCACTCTTCTCTCAATACAATGCAGTCTTCAACAGGTTATTGTGAAACAGAATGAAGGACTTCGTAGACGCCCAACTTCGAGATCAACAGGCCGGATTGCGTAAGGATCGATCGTGTACTGACCAAATTGCTACATTACTGATCATTGTGGAACAATCAATTGAATGGAACTCACCACTCTACATCAACTTCATCGTCTACGAGAAAGCATTCGATAGCGTGGACAGGAAAACACTGTGGAGGCTTCTTCGACACTACGGTGTGACTGAGAAAATAGTTAACATCATACGGAATTCTTATGATGGTTCCAACTGCAAAATCGTACACGATGGACAGCTGAGAAACTCGTTTGAGGTGAAGACGGGTGTGAGGCAAGGTTGCTTACTCTCACCCTTGCTCTTTCTCCTGGTGATGGACTGGATTATAAAGACGTCAACATCTGGAGGGAAGCACAGTATCCAATGGATAGCTAGGATACAGATGGACGATCTGGACTTCACAGATAATCTGGCTCTTCTATCGTACACGCAACAACAAATGCAAGAGAAGACGATCAGTGTAGCAGAAGCCTCAGCAGCGGAAGGTCTCAACATACATAAAGGGAAAAGTAAGATTCTACGATACAACACAACATTCGCCAACCGAATCACTCTTGGGATAGCCAATCGAGAAAAAAGCCACGCACATTGTGGATTGATGAACTTATCGATTAAATGCTTAAATATTTCAAGGGCAGTCGATCGATGAACTATTGGATTTAATATTCAAATATTTAAACGACAATATCGATTGTATGTATAATTGTTCTCCAACATCTTCCGTCTTCTTATTTTCGAACGGTGGGATTCTAACGTTCGGGGGTCATTAATACAGTGGTTTGGCGTTACATCAAGTAGAAAACATAAAAGTGGCGACGGAGTGTTCAACCCATAATGTCAATTACCCTTGAACAGATAGAATCTTTACTGGAACGTCAAGGAAAACGATATGAACAGTTCCAGGAACATATGTTGGAGTTGTTAATGAAACAAATGAATTTGAATCACAGAGGTCTTACCGACGACTCATACAATCCGCATACAGACTCGATAGTTAATTCCATTCATGAATTTCATTTTGATGGCCTTGCTGGTGTGACTTTCGAGTCTTGGCTCAAGAAGTATGAAGATTTGTTCAAGGTCGACCTCAACAATCTTGATGAAGCCACCAAAGTCAGAATCCTTTTGAGAAAGCTCGGCACAATCGAACACGAACGTTATAGCAATTTCATCCTCCCAAAGAACCCACGAGATTTCTCTTTTGATGCTACAATTGAAACGCTGTCGCAAATCTTCTCTGAACAGTTATCTCTCTTTAATATTCGTTATCGATGCCTCAAAATAACCAAGTCAAATGAAGATGACTGGGTAAAGCACGCCGGCTTAGTAAATCATGAATGCGAACGATTTAAATTATCATCAATGACGGAAGATCAGTTTAAGTGCCTTGTGTTTGTGCGCAGCTTACAATCTCCCGAAGATGCTGATATAAGAACCAAAATCTTAAGTAAAATTGAACAGTGCCCAAACTTCTCGCTTCAAGAAATAACTGCAGAGTGCCAGAGATTAGTAAATTTGAAGCATCATACCTCCATGGTCGAAAACAATGGCCGTGCATCATACGTGCATGCCGTTAGTGAAAAGAAAAATTCCGGCTCACGAAAGCATCACAAGAGCACAGACAACCAGCCCTCATCTCCATGCTGGTCATGTGGAGGTTGGCACTACAAGAAGCTTTGTCCATACAAAGATTATGTTTGCACTAAATGTCACAAAAAATCTCGTGATTACTTGGCTAGTTGGCCCCCTCATCGACAATCAAGGTGTATCTGATGCAGATGTGAGGGCAGAAACTTGGAGAACTACCAAAGCCATCATCCAGAAGATACAAGTGTTTATTGACAGTTGTCTACGCAAAATACTTCGTATTCGTTGGCCAGACACCATCAGCAACAACGTACTGTGGGAGAGAACAAACCAGATTCCAGTGGAGGAGGAAATCAGTAAGAAGCAGCGGAAGCGCATAGGACACACTGCAAAAAGCAACTAACTACGTCACAAGACAAGCCTTCACATGGAACCCTCAAGGCAAAAGGAAAAGAGGAAGGCCAAGGAACACATTACGCCGAGAAATAGAGAAAGATATGAGAGGAATGAACAAAAACTGTAAAGAACTAGAAAGGGAAGCTCAGGACAGAGTTGGTTAGAGAAAACTGGTGAGCGGCCTATGTATGCTCGATTGGGGTGTAACAGGCGTAAGTAAGTAAGTAGTATTAAAGAATTCATCACTAGTATTCATTCAACATGTCATATTTTTCTTGTTCAAAAAATTAAAAACTTTGTTTTTTTTTCAATTAATTTTTTTTCAGCTAAACTTATATTCACTCAATCATTTTATCATAATCATTTAATGATTCCGATTACCAGTCAAGAAACAAGTGAATGTGAATTTTTATCCAAACTAACAACACATCTTTTGCAACATATTAATATACAATATCAATTTCATAAAATTCAAACAAATCTTCAATCTATACTATGTAATCATGTTGAATTACATGAGAATATGAATTGTTCTTCCAGTAGTACAACAAACATCGATGTCAACGTTGTTGACAATCTGAATGACAAATATATCTATATTACTTTATTTTTCACTGGTCAAACAATATCTGATAATCAATTATGTTTATTTGAAGTGTCATATTGGTCGAATAAATTGCCTAGCACTGATGATCAATTATTATTACCTATGAATTTCAGTTTATTTTGTAATTCCACTAGTATATTTCGTAAACATTTATCATTATCTATTGAAAAAATAATAAAAACATTGTTATAATGTTGTTGATGATAAAGATTTTATTATTATTGATATTTTTCGTTTTGAGTTATTAGGAACTTTATGATGTTGTTAAAGAGAGATACGTTCAATGTTGTTTAAACATTCCATTTTCGAATTTGATTTTTTTTTCTTTTCTTTTCAATTACTTTTGGCGCTTTATTTCAATATTCATCGCTTCATGTACGTGTGTGTGCGTGTGTTTTTGTGACGTTGTTTATTGATTTATTTGTTTTCATCCAATCATGTGCAATTTTGTTCAGTTATTTTTTTGCTTGCTTGACTAACAACACTGTGGTCTTCGTTTTTTTTTCTGAGTTTGATTCATTGTTTGAAATTGTGAATAAAGTCTAGTCTTTTAACATGGGATAATTTTGAAATGCATTCAATGGGGAAAAAAGTATCTTCTTTAGATATATCTATAATGTATTTGGTTACCCATTGAAGTCCAATTCGTGAATTTCACCGTATTCGGCACTCCTCAACTGGAAGTCCTTAGATCCTACAGTATTGATATTCACACTGAAACTCAAGCTTTGTACCTTTGGCTTTAAAGTATTATCCACTAGGCTACTAAATTTATTCTTGTTTAACATACACGCAATTATTTGTAAACCTTTTTTATTTTCCCGTTATTGATAATATGAACTGCTGTTGATCAGCTTACACAAAAATGTAACGGAAGCCTTTTTTTACACTTAAGAAATAAATATAAACAGAAAGTTAAGACCGTACGTAGTAAAGACAACAATCTGAAAAGTTATTTCTAAACATACAGCTTAGATTTTAAACTGTATATGATTAAATCCTTTTAAAATAGTTGACGAAACTTCTCTCAATGATATAGAAGCAAATATCTGAAGCTGGATATCCTAAAACAACTATTTGTTGAAAAAAATAGGGGATGTAAGTTGCATGCAATAGGCTCTGATATACGGTGAACAATCGGTTTGGACGAACAATCTACGTGTAAATAAAAGCTGGTTGGACTGACACATACAAGGTCATATATAAACAGATGACTGGTGTGTTAAACGAATATTGATTGTAAAGAACACCTCTCTGATTGATCTTTTCAGTGATATTATCCTAAAACTCATGATTCATGGATAGAATTTTCTTCGAAACTATGTATATTTAGTCTGTGGATACTGTTTCCTTTCATGTTTTTTTTCTCAATAAATCTAAACAAGCTCCTACTTTTTGTTGATGTAAATTTTTTCACTAAAAGAAACGATAAAATTCCATAACACCGATTAATATTGTTACGCATGCATGTGACCACATCATTTGATATACTTGAACTATTACTAGTTCACCTTAGTCAGTAAACGAGAGCGAGACAATGATCCAGTGACACGATAGGCTATTCTAATCCAAGCGTCCAAAACCCCCCATTGAATAGAAGACTTGATATAAAGCAGAACCTGTATTCTACAAGCATCCAGAAAGTACGAGGTCCGAGTCCAGAAGAGCAGAAAGAACCAGGACTAAGGATCCGGGTCATAAAACGTTACACTTAATGCATATTTATACAGTTAGGTCGAATAGGAACAACCTTGGAGTCTGTGACATTGATAGTTAGGCTGACCAATAGGAATCGAGCAACAGAATTAGACTTACAAATAATTATTTTAGGATATTGGATGAATATCCTAACATGGATTGGACAATCGACAAACCTTCAGAGTTCGATTTCGAATGATCGATTAAACAATACCTATTCTTTATGTGCTCATCTTATCATCAGAGTTGTACATTCGAACATCTTTGAAAATATTTTATAGTCCTAAGTTCTGTTGTGTGTGGGTGTGTGGTATTCTGATGCTAAAACAATACAGTTAGTTGTACTGTTTGTTTTTTTTAAATACCGAATAACTCTCCACCTAACACATCTCTTGCTGATAGAAAAATCATGTTTCATAATCTTTAGAAAATCATCTTGATTTATTATTGTTGAAATGACATTTCTATAATGTGCCGGTGAGTGTGTACGTATGATAAAAGTACATTGCAATGCACATGATAAAGATGGAAGTTGTAATTAGAATTATGACAGCTGATTGTACTGTTTGTTATAATAAAAATTAAAAAGTACAATAATTTGTTTATTATGAAGCTAACTATTTTTTTCAAATTGAAAAATCAATTCAGGGAAGTTATTTGTTATTCTATTTGAAAATTTTCCAACATTTCCTATTTTTTTTATGCAAATTTAAATGAATAACATACTACTACTGTAGTGAAGGAGAACACAGGTGGGGCAACCGAATTGTATTTAACGAAAATTACAGAGTTACTCAGTAAAATAGGAAAACCATATCGTAAATCGTTCATTTGCAAAATATCAGTTCATCATATCGAACTGTACTGTTCCTGTTGCGAAACATCAATCCATTGTCACTATTCATGCGTTTCATACAAATTCCATTATTTTCTAACTTTTCCTTTCTCGATCTTCCCCCATATTATGCTGCCAGACATTACGTTGACACTCACGTCATATACTACTTATAAGTAGCTCACACCACACTACTACTAACCCTTAAAAATCGGTTAATCACCAATGCTTTAATATATATACTACTTATTTCAAGTCCGAATAGGCTATTAAAGAAAATTAAGCCCATATAACAACACATTAATGATTTCTTTGATGTGAATGAGGCAAAAAACAGGGAAGAAATTCACTCCAACTTTCAAATTCACTTCTCAATATTATTTACTGCTTTAAGAAAAACTTGATTATCAAGATAGTAGTCCCAATTATTGAATTCTGTGTGGTCAGGCTTGCGCATTCAGCCAGCCCTCCTAGTAGATTAATTGATAGATATTTCATAAACTGTTGTTTGTGTTACTGGCATAACGGATTACAATCAAGTCAATCCCTATACTGTTGTTATTAGATAACTAACTGCTGATGGCGTATACATTTCAATAGACATTGATCATGGTTTAGTATCATACTGCAGCACAGATCACAAGCAGATGAAACGAATATACGACTACGGAAGAATCAATAAATAAGATTTACAATCCAGTAAGAAGCGATCAAGTATACATGTCCTTACAAACATGATAATAATAGTAATGATATTGACAAGCTGTTATTGTTCGAATGACAGACACTGTCTGTCAAATAAGTTATTTGAAGGTTTTACTTCACCAAATTAAAAGTACAAAAACTCAACTGAAAGTGAAGTCATTGCGGGGTTGTTGTGAAGATTGTTAAGTTTTATTTGTAACCATGAATCGATCAAGTTAGACATTAACATCGTTAGATACCGGCTCAGTGGTCTAACGGTTAGGGCGTTCGCGCACAATACCGAAGGTCCTGGGCTCGAATCCCGCGGGGTGCAGAAGTCGTGGGTGCGCACTGCTGATGAGTTCCATACCAAGACGAAACGGCCGTCCAGTGCTTCCAGGTTTCGAATGGTGGTCTAACATTGGTCGATTCATGGTCACAAATGAAAGTTAAGTGCCATACGGAAATGCATATTGTTTGCTTTTTATTCTGCTTATGCAGAAAGATTCTAATGAATTGACACGAGATCAGGGAATTTCGAGGTAATGGAATAAATTAACATCAGTTTTGGATACTTTAATCCCCTGATAATCGGAAGATTAAGCTTTGATTGGATAAGATCATTGTTTGAAATACTACTTGTGTTTATTACCTCTAATCAATAAATGTCCAGTATTGATAACAAGAAAACTGGGGAAAATGTTATATGATGAAAAAGAATTTACAAAATATGTGCTTCTTGTAAATGAAGAAGGAAAAATGTCCGATTACCGTCGTGAACATGTTGTCTAAACAGAACTAAGTAGAATATAGTTGAAATCTGCGATTTACTAGTTTGAAACAGTGATTTCACAGTTGAGCAGCTGTCTATCTATTTAAATAGTATCTTAATAACAATGACTTTTATAAATGATTATATGTGTCTGTTACGATGTGCAGCGTTCTAGATGTGAACGCGATACGTCACAGCCCCTCAAACTGGCTACTTGAACGACGGTGAAAGTGGAAGAGAGGCTGTCGAATCATATGTACAGATACAATATATGTTGAGGCAACACCCTAAGAAATTCGAATATATGAAACCCAACCAAAAATTGGAGAAATCAGCATGGTTACGGGATGAATCAAGAATTGTAAGACAGCAATGCCATGCAACGTACCACCTAGGGCACTTAAAGTAGTCAGAAGTAACTGCAAAAATGTTTCAGCTTCTCTTCAGAAAGATTTAGGAACAAGAACAACTACAAACAGACTGGAAAGAATGACAATTCATCAAGATACTGAAGAAAGGCTATCTCAGCAAGTGTGAGAACTACAGAAGCACCACTCTACTACCAATACCAGGGAAAGCCTTCATCAGAGTGTTGGTAAACCGAATAAAGGACTCAGTAGAAATCCAACTTCAATTTCATTAGGCTGGATCTGTAAGGATAGGTCGCGTGTCAGTTGAATCGTGACACTACAGATCATTGTGAAACAATCAACTGAATGGAATTCATCGCTCTATATCAATTGTATTTGACCGCGTGAACAGGATGACACTATGGAGGCTTCTTCGACAATAGGGCGTGCCTAAGAAGATATCCAACAAAACACGGAATTCTTATGATGGACTACGCTGCAAAATCGTCCATGGGCTTCATTTCACAGATTCTTTCCAAGTGGAAACCGGTTTCAGAAATGGTTGCTTACTCTAAACTTTTCTTTTTCCCCAACACCAAAGTCATAGTTTTCAATACAAATCTCAAAACAGTTCTATTGCATAGAGTAAAAACTTGGAGAACCACGAAAGCCATCATACACAAGATACAGGTATTTATTAACAGTTGTCTACGCAAAATACTTCAGATCCGTTAGCTAGACATCATCAACAAAGATCTACTCTAGCAGATAACAAAGCAGAGGAAGACATAAGGGAAAAGCGCTAGAGGTGTATAGAAAACGTTGTGGAAAACATCCGACCAATCGCGTCGCGACGTAAGCCCTCATTTGAAATCCTCAAGGTCAAAGGCATAGAGGTAGACTAGAAAACGCATTACGCCGAGTCGGAGGCAGACATGAAAAGAATGGTGGATAGCAATTGGATAGAACTGGACCCAGGACAGAGTAGGTTGGGGAATATTAATCAGTAGCCTATGCTTCATGAGGGGTAACAGGCGTATGTAAGGTCGTTCCTTCGTAAAAACAATTAGTAATGATTTAACACCGAAATAACTCAGTAGTTCAAACCACTTGTAGACTACCACTGTCCAACTATTTGCGTACTTCTACTATTTAGAAATAAATTATTACAATTAGAAGTCTTACTTCTCTCTGATAATTATATTTGAAAGGTATTTCACTAGATTAGAAAGTATATACGTGTACATTA